TAGAATGTGGCGTAAAGAAAAGAACACATAGAACAGACAAGAAAAAGAGTGCACAGCGTAAGTGGCATTCAAGTCAAGCGTGTGCGTTTAGAGTTTAGAAAATTCGCCCGGGTCCCTCGGTACGCATCGTTCTCGTCGCAAAGTTTCCACTTGATTCCGTTGTCTGACGCGTTTCGTTGCTCGCGTACCGAGAGACGCTTCGGGCATTTTTATTTTTAAAAAGTACAGAGTGGGCTAAAAATCGTGGCGTTAGGGCGGAATCAACTTTACGTTTTACGTATCTTGAGGATCAACGGGGCTACCAGATTATTAGCTACATTGTTATTGTATTTAGAGCAGCGTGGCGGAGAGTTTACTTCTTTTGAGCCCACTCTTTCATAAAAAACTTCATTCTTAATTTCACATCAATATTTCCGAATCCACAGCATAAAGGAAGAGAAAAATGTTTGGCAAAGAGCTAATACAAAGGTTCGTTCTTTCATATGTCACGAGTCAAAGATGGCGACCGGTGGATCACGTGACGTAGCCACCTCGCTACTTTACATCATCAAACTCGCCGAATAATCTACGCAAAACGTTTCAAAAAGTAACTAAATATATCCACCTTCCGGGAGAGAATGTAAAACGATAGCTGGAAAACCGCGATAAACTGTACTATAAACAAAAATCGAATCAGAAGTGTTCCAGGACTCTCAAGGCGCGGCCATTTTGATTTCAGCGTAACTGCCAAAGCTACGAGTGCAAAATTCGAATCAACCGTGCATCTATCTCAGTTTTCTCTCCAGATTCGTTCGCTGACGTGTAATTAAGAATTCTGTGCGAGTCTGTCGTCCAATTTCGAAGATATCCGACCAAGATCTCCGCGGATCTTTCCGCGAGTCCCATTGTTTCGCGGAATTTCGAGGCAGGGAACCGGAACCGCTCGGATCTCGAACTCCCGGGAATCCCGTGGAGTTATTTTCGCGAAACGCGGGACGCGCTCGAGCGTTTTATCGAACGGTTGAGAATATAGTCGCGCCGCGGCGGTTGCTGACACGGAAACGTTTGCCGTAATAGCGGTAAACGCGGGCCCGGCGCGCCCGGATTTTACGATCCCGCGGGAAACGGAGAAGATGAAGCCGGGGAATCGTCGACCGGAAGAATTTTTCGGGATTGGCAACGAGATCCCCGATAGCGTGGGCTCGATGGGACTCGTCGGAGATCCTCGAATCGGACTCGATGGAGATCGAATGGATGAGATAGATATTTATCGGTTAAATAGTAAACGGTGGGCACTGAAAGCGTAAGAAGGTGATTCGTTAGTAGAAAACACGGGCGGTCTGCGTTTCCCTTGTTCATCGATGAATATTTCTTGAAAAATTTCTAGCAAAAATCAAATCGATGAACGTCATTTACAATAATTGAAGACTAATATCGCGTTCGTCTCGATCAGTTGTACGACATTCAACCGGTTCTTCGCGTAAGCGTTCGAAATGTAGAAATTTTGAATGCCGAAGTTTGAATCCAAAACGTTTAAACTGTTCTTTTCGTTTGAATGTTTCGACGCGAACGTAAGCTAAGACCTATGCATAAAAGAATCTACATTTGAAAGGTGTAAAGAGATCGAAGAATAATCCCGAAGATTGCAAGCGATTCGCATTCGAACGAAAGAATAGACCGACCGAGGAATCGCGAGAAGATTCCGGGCGGAAGTTTCAAGATTTTCTTTCCTCGAGCGTTGCGGCATCAACGATCCCGTGAACGTGGATTTCTTTATCAAAATACCGCGGAACTTCCCGTTTGATCCTCGAAGTCACGCAGACCGCCCCCGCCCCGGAAACTTCGTGATTACTTTCTACGTGGCGGGGAATGTTTTCATTTCGTTTCTTTTTTTTTCTTCTCGTCTCGTTCTTTTTAACGGTATCGAGCCATCGAGACATCGGTAGTGTTCGAGACAAG